TTTTTTTTTTTTTCAGTGGCCCTAATCCTCTTCCGTAGAGTCCCCTTTTCCCTCAGTGAGGTCTAGAATCACAAGGTCTATATCCAGCCATTCAGCAAGGATCCTGCTACATGGCTGAACATCTTATTTTAGCATTTGATCAATTAGATGAGCCCTTGAATGTTATATAACCTACTGGAAATTTAAGTTTGAAAAAAATAAAATTAAAAGTTAACTAGTCAAGAAAAAAGATAAAAAGCTAATTGAAAAGTTCAAAAGTGAATAAGCCCAGTTAACGATTACTTTTTTTTAGTTTATAAGCCTAAATATAAGAGCCAGTATCAGCATTAGTCCCTCTAAGATTATGTTGTACCAAAAAAAGTGTTTCTTGAATTTGTGAATTTCCTATTGAAGCACTTTTTGTATTTTTTTTAATGTATTCAGGCAAATTGAAGTTTCTTTTTACTTTGACATTAATTTTTACCATCAAATTATCCATATTTTTTGAATGTTACAACGTTAATAAGGTCTGGTCCTGGATTCTAATAACACTATTGGCTTGAAATTTTGATTTTCAAAGTATTTCACTTAGTGCCCTATAAAAAAAAGAGTTAATATCCAAGTGTCATTAATGACACGTAATGATAATTTACAAAATTAAAACTGATTAAAAATCAATTCAAAGAAATTCCTACTTTGTTTGGAAAGTCCCGTTTACCAAAAGCAGAAAGTCAGTTGGTTGGTTGATTAACTGTGACCTAAATGATGGAGAACCTTTGCCTGCATTATTAATTAGCACCATGTTATCTAACCTAATCACAAATCAAACTTTATAAAGTGTTTTTAATGCACTGGGCAACATATATGGAGTCAAAACAGGCATTTCAGATTTAAAATTCAAATCCTATATCTACAAATCCAATTTGAAAAGTATTTTCTAATTATACATTCTAAATCGATTATTATTGAGGAACTGTAAATTGATTTATGAATCCAGAATTAGAGCAATTTGAGAATGTATTTTCAAATCCTATTTCTAAATGGAGATTTAAATTTCTCAAATCAAATACAAACACCTTTCCTAATCACATGTAAAAATTTAAGTCATTTTCTGTTTTCTTTTTCGATTTGCATTTTCAAATCCTTTATTAAAGTAAATTTTCTTTTGACGTTACCCTCTCGATTTAACGTTTCTGCGACCCGTCTGCTCCATGAACACCCTGAAAACCAGGTAAACCAATCACAGTTGCTCCTCAGATGTAATCAGCCTCCTCATTGGTTGGACTGCCACACTGTTTACAAAATGACCAAAAGCAGGAAGCTGGTCAAGTAATGTCTCTTTTCTTCAACTCATAAGTAAAACTCCAGTCTTGTACTGATTGAATCTCTGCCATTCATGACTTAATATCCTAAAAATATTTTAAAGGGTAAAAACTGGCTCCAAGTCATCGGGAGACATGGAGATTTAATAACATTTTCCCAGATACCATAACATATTCATGTTCTCTGATCAGTGATAATTGATTGACTTTATTGATCGAGATTTAACGATAAAATTTACTTACATCAGCTCAAATAGTCCGAAAGAAGAAGGTGCCAAAAAGAAGATGGGGTATATACAGAATATACAGTGTAAGTATATATGCGTGTATATATGTGTATATAATATAAGGCTTAA